TCAAAACGAATGTTTTTAGTAAAACAATAATGTTTCTTAGATTTGCGAACTTCTCTCAAATAAAATCAATTTATTAGATGTTCACTTCTATGTTTTTATAAGAATTAGCATTTTGAGACATCGAGATCTTCTATATTGCCAGATCAAATCTGGGTATGATCTCTTACATGGAGCCATGATTCGGACAAGGCTCGGTTCTGAATATCAGACTTTATTTCTGGATACTATTTTAAACATCTAAATATTTTCAAAACAGAGAATGATAAGACTAATGCGTATTAATACATGTGTGTACTCGCAAGTATAGTGCTGTCTACTAGTTTTCAATACGATAACTAATAGATATCTTTGGTTTCATTGATACTATTCGGTTGCTCAAAGAGAAAGTATAAATGACAAGACTTCAGGATATTTTAAAATTATTTAACTAGAATATAAAATTTTTGATTTAGAAAGAGATACAATTTATAACACAATTAGTAGATCATATAAATACTTTTGATTGTTAAATTCAAAAATGCATACAAATATCATCTATATACGATCGTTTATTACAACAAGATTTTCTCATTGAATACTAAATCATGTTTTATTCGTATATAAATTATTTTTACTTCTATTTTTTTCGATATTAACACAACACTGTATAATACTACGAAATATAAACGTTTTTTGTCTTAGTCTATTTTTGTACGAAATACATGACACATAGATGTGCACATCGATTTTTATTGCGTAGATAAACATGTTTTTCATTGTGACAGGCTCGACAATGGCGTTACAATTAAAAAAAGTATTAATATTTCATTGTAGTCAATGATGATGATGTTTGATCATTCTTTGTATCATATTGTAATAGTGAACATTATTAGATTAAACAACATTTCTTCAATGACATTTAATGGCGAATATAGAAAAAAAAAGATGAAACTATTACTGGTATGAATGGTTGCCTGTTGCTGACTTCACATCAAATAAATTTCGTTGAGAAATTTGTTCATCATTTAAAACAATACGTGAAGATACATCTGAATTCTCTAATTAACATTTTTTCATTTGTACCGTGCATAATAATACATTATTTATATTGATATTTTGTTTTCGATTGAAATTCGGACAAACTGGCATTGGCACAGTCCAATCATATGCTGCATAAGCAAATGAAAGTATAATACCTACACCTAACCGATATCCAACATTTTTAATATATCGGCTCAAACTGTTTGTGACTGATGATTGTGTAGATTTCGTACTTGTAGAATATAGATGACACGCCAGGATATCATGAACGACATTTTGTTGAACTTTTGTTCCGATCTCATATTTTAAAATATTCAATGAAAAGGATCGAAACATCATTGCTTATCTGACAAATAGCTATGAATAAAAAAATCAATATTAAATATTTCATTCGACACACACACACATAGCAGCTCTTAAATAATTATCTGCTCGAATCGATAATATCAGTTTCATATGGAGATCGAACTTTCTTCCGACTCAAAAGAGTCATACAATACTATTCAGTCAATCGAATGACGAATGATGTTATGGATTGTGCTCATTCTTGATGAAAAAAAAAAGATTCAATATAACCTTTCTGATAGCTATTTGTTATTGAGATCGACCTTGAAAAGGTGCACATGGAAAGAAAGAAAAAAAAAGCAACATCGTACAAACAAACAACTACATACAAAAAATGAACACTAATATTTATTCGTATATTTAACTATTATTTTAATCTCTTTATCATACTTATCCTTCATAATAAAGTTAAGGATTCAGGTGAAATTTTACTTATACTTAGTATCGCAATGATTGAGATGTGTTTGAAGTGATTGATTACAACGTCCTCTTTGAAATAAATTATGGAAACTGTTTAGTGGTCCATTAAAGACTCATGTGATAACTATCGAGAAATTACTCTCGGTTGGTTTTTTTTTGAAAATGTTGTATCATGATGTATTGTATCAAAATGGATGAATATTTTTTATATGTATTAGAACTGAGAGAATTGAGTCATTCTTTTTATGTATCTGAATCACCTATGCTATCCACAGAGCTCCTATCAATCCAATTGTTCATTTGAATTCTTTCTAATAAATGGTGTAGGATACCTCGTGAGGCGAGCTTTTCGCATATTCACATTGACGATTGAAAAGTCAATTTCGTCTACTCAAATTTCTCCATTAAAGTTTAACGAACCACAAAAGCTACAGAAAAAAACAGATGAACATACTCTTGCAATTGTATTCTATCTACATCAATAAATATTAATTATTAGACGTGAGATATGTGTTTTAATTAACAGAAATATAAGTTCCCTAAGAAAAAAAAAGTGTATTCTATTTTGAAAACTACTCAGCTGTTCGTTTAGAACATACATTTCTTTTAAATCTCAAAAGAAAATACAATATTCATCTGCATGTTGTTCAAAGGTGTTTACTGGAAGAACATTTATGAACCTAATTTTAGTAATAAGAAAATCAGTGACCTAAGTAGAAGCCAATGAAAGAAGAAACAACAACAGATCTCATTTTCCAACCCAACCGACAACGAATGTTCGAAGTCGTATTGATTAAATCATGTTGAAGTGTTCCTATCACTTTATTAGAATATTCTGTGTATCAGATGAATAGATTAGCATTTATTTTTTTAAATCAATCAGCTCAACAAACTCTTTGCCATCACTATTCCACATCAGCTGAAAGTCCATTTCATAAATCGTGCAAGACATGATTAGTATTTGTAATGATCAGCGTTCATACTAAACTGAACTCCATAATGCTCACACAATCATTTCAAGACGAAGACGATCAAAAAAAAGACGATTCAAGTACTTGTTTCAAAGTACTATAACTCGGCATATCTGATACGATGCTAAGTATTCAGCTACACTGAACAAATGTTAATTTTACACAAATCTCGTTTGACTACATGTAATAATCAAAATTTCTTAGTCATTGCCTTTTATCTAAAGAAGTTTACATTCATCGTTGGCAAGTGTTTGAAAACTGGTGATGGTCTATAATAATTATTATTGTGGAACTTCATTGTCGAAAACATCTAAGAACAATATTATCGGTGAGAATTAGAATCATTGCCAAGTTCTATATCCGTTCACTTTTGAAAAGAGTTCTGTTTCGGTAATGAAATAGAGTTGAAAAAAAACTGGTTGCGGTGTCTTTTTCGATGATAAAGGTATAGAATGACCGATTATTTTACTTAAAAGCTATGTAGAGAAAAGGCGCAGTACCATCTATCAATTTCTATGACTTGAGTATCAAAACAAAGTGATTATATAAGTCGGAAGTGAATATTCATTCAAAGAATTTTTTATTAGTAAATGTTATTGAAAAAATTAATTCTTCTTTGAGAATGTAAAAACAAATTATTTTCTTCTTATGTTCTATCTCCCCACTGAGTTCCTTCATTGAAATTACACGCTCTATTATTGAAACAAGTGTGCAAATATAAGTTTTGTGCCATATTGAAACTTTGACAATATTTCAGTGTTGCACCAATGGTAAGATTTGTTCTTTTCAATACTATCAATGCAAATTATGATGAAAATATGTTTGATATAGTGCTACTGAAAACGACGAAATATAGAAATTCCTATTAGAATAAAAACAAAAACTAGAGGCTAATACTTCTTCGAATTACCAATTTCATGAACGATATAATGGATATAATAAGATATAAATGATTACCTCAGTAACGATTGGATGAGAGAGGTGAAAATTCTGAAACATGACTTTTATGATATTAAATAGATTCATTGCTCTAATGTTAGACATTGATTATTTCTCTTGAAGGAAACCGTAATTTCCTATTTCAAGCATCACTACGGTGACTTTAGAATTACACACATGAATCATTGAATCGAAACGAATGCACATGATGTTTTATTAGAGTAGATAACGAAATCCATCTATTGCCTCGGTCATCATATATCCTATACCAATGACTAATCATTAAGAAGCGTCGGAAAATTTGTAAAATGCGTATTATGATTTCGAAATTACACTTGGAGTCAATAGAGATAAAGTTACGCAATTCATACATTATTTACCATTGGTGAAAACGGCGTTGTTTAGACATATATTTAAATGCACATATCAAAGCCTGCAGTAATCAATCGTTTCTTTCTCTCGCTTCAGTATCGTCACTACACAGCGTGGTGTGCATCGTTGATATTCTTTTTTTTGAATGCCGTTATTTAAGAAAGTAGCAATATGTGATCTTTCTAAAAAATACGGAGACCAACAGCGTGGCATGGTAACACTTGAACTTATTTATCAAGGTGAAAAAGTTTACGAGTGTGATCCTGCAACATGCAGTTACTATCCAGATGATAATCTACGATTCAAATTTACTCGAAAAAAACTTGTTGGATTGATGGAAATGTATCCACAAGCATCTGAATATATTCGAAACTATGCTGTTATGATCGAAGACGATTTCTTCGCTCTTCCATACTGTACTCTTACACAAGAACTGACCGATGAATGTGCTTTGTTCAATCATTCGTGTGAGCCTAATTGTGATGTTGAAGGACCGAGTAATGGTTGGATAATAACAGCCCGACGTGATATTAAGGTCGGAGAAGAATTGACTATTCATTATGGTATCTTCGAAACTGAAAACAGTCTTATGGCAGGTACTCAATGCATGTGTAGTGCCGATAATTGTGTAGGTCAACTTCGATTTGATTTTTGGCGCGATCATGAATGGCAACGCAAATTTGAACATATGGCAAGTCCATACATTCAGAAGAAGATTCGTGAATTGCGCACAACGGCATCGGATCAAAACGGTTCCGATTAATAGATGACAGACAATCAAAAAAACAAAAAGACAACATTCTTTTTAAAGTTTACTTTTAATCTTTATCAAAGACGAAATCAAAATATCGACAACTGATCCTTCAAAAATAAAGAAATACTGAAAATTTATAAACAAAAGTCATATGTTAGAAAAATATTAGTCAGTTATTTTGTGAGTATTCTACAGAAGAAAATTTACTTCCTTTCGAAAAAAAATTTTCAAAACTTAAGTATTCGTATGAAACAAAATGATATTTCAACGAAATGTTTACTACAAGGAATTCATGTAAAATTAGATTCTAGGAAACTATTTTGCCAATTATTCGCACTATTTATCAATTACTCATTGAAGAAGATAGATGATACGTGAACAACATATCATCAGAAATACTTGCCGAGAACATAAGAGTTTATTTATGCTACATGATGAAGCATCTTTTTCACTACTGCCTTGGTTTCAAAAATACTTCTCTTCAATTATTTCTATTCGTTGTTTCAAAAATGAGAAAAAAAGACAAGTTTGATGTTGTACATCAGTTGTTAAGAATATAAATAGAAAGAGTCCGAAGAGCGTTGCAACATAGAATCTTCGACAACGCTTGCTACTAATCTTTTGTTGCATTTGGACTTTTCATATTATTATCGCAGAATATACTGTGAGAGGTTAATAGAAGACTAGTTTCGTTTCAGGGAGGAAGTGACACACGTGCGAACGAAGAGTCATTTGTTATTTCTTTTTCACATAATTAAACAAGTTTTTTTCATGATTAATACATGTTGGTAAATAAGCCGAGCACTTTTTTTTTTGCGTTCGCCCAATCGTTGATGTGACATCATAATATGATAACTATGCGATTTACGATATAATGAAACTTTTCTGCTCATTTGCTTTGTCTGTTCTTACGAAATATTGGAAAAATCATTCGCTAGCGATACCACTTCGTAAAATTAGAACACTGACATATCGAAATAATGAACTTTCCTAAAGCTAATTTTTCTATTTTACGTGTATGTTGAACTAATCTACACACTCTGAAAAAAATAAGCACTAAAGATCTTTGTTCAAAAAAAAAGAGTTATCAGTAGAATCCTAGTATTAGCAACATGATATAAGAAAAGATATCGACTTTAATCTCATTTAGGTTAGTTTAAAGCCTTGCTATGCTTAGATTTTCCACAAAAATCGCTTTACTTTTTATTAGGGACGAGAATTGTATCATAGATGTAGCTTGCACCATAGAGTCTATCCGAAAGTTTTCGGATTTTCTCTTGTATGATCAGACAGTTATTTGCTCATTAATTAATTATTTTTAATTAATCGGCAGCTACAAGAGCCAACATTTATATATATATCCATAGTAAAAGAGCGTATTCAGAAAAAAAACCATTGTAAAGAAACAAAATCAAATCAAAGGTCGACAGGTTCTCTTTTGTTTGAAATGGATAGTATTGAAAAATGACTTCAAAATTACCACTGTTCATGTCTTTATTATATTCAAAAACTAATAACTATTTTTGATTCATGAAGTCTTAGTGAATATCTATGAAAGAGTACCTAAAGATATTTGTCTACCTGACGAAACAATCTTTCAAATAAGAGCCTTTGACAGGCCTTGATAAACAGTATATATATATATTTTTTAAATTCGCTTAGTTGAAAAATCTTATCACTTATTCACAAATATATGAACAAAAATTAAAAAGTTCAAAAGAATCTTCATTAGAATATCCTTTATTGGACTAATAACAGAACATACGATGATTCGTTTTATCCAATACAAAGATTCTGAAGTAAAAAAAAAAGCAATTAATAATTGCTATTACTGTAAAGTTGTACGGCTTAATATAAGATGCTTAAATGAAATTATACAACTAGAAGTCTACGCATCTAGACATTAATACGACTGTATTAGAAACATAAAAGCTATAAAAAAGAAATCTAGCACTTCCTATTTTTTCTTGGCGAAAAGAATTCATTTCATGAATTTCTCACAAACACGAATTTATGGTTTGCGTTCATGTATTATTCGACATACAGGCTAAGTTTTTTTTTTTAGAAACTGAAAGATATTTCTTTATTAACTTTATTTATCTTCATTCCATATTAATTCTAGTTAGTAGTATACTCTGAAAAAAAAAGATTTTCGTGTATAAGACATGTTCCAGAAGTGTTTAAACGGTTTTAAAAGTCTCCATTTTTGTATATAACAAAAACAAAGTTTTTGGATCTTTGGTAGAGTATCCTACCCGCCGAGCACTAAAAAAAACTAGAAAGTTTCACATGAATAGCTTTCATTATAATTTTCTTGATTTTCAAGTAACTTTAGTGCTTAAAATTTTCGGTTTCAATGATAAACATTTGCAAATATTGTTTTCTACTCGAATTCGAATTAGCTAAGAAAACAGTTTCAGAATATATTTGACCAATAATAGCGTGCATTACACCGATCAGTATACAGGCAGTGTTTACTCGGTTGTCATTACATGAATAGGAATACTTTCTAAATGTGTTATTAATAATGAATAATACTTGTCTGCTTGATCGAATTGTCCCATTTGTATCATTAACCAACCGAACGATGCTTGACTTGTTTCCAAAAACATATTTTCTTTCCAATAGTACCAAATATCACCAATTTCAATCATTAGTTTAATTTCATGAGTGTGTTTCATGACAATATTCCATTTTTTATTGTTAGTCGAATCAACAGATACACTATAGTCGGTTATTTCAAGTGTTGTTTCTGGTGCTAATAATAGTTCATTTCCATTTTGATAATAGTAGAGATTTCCAATTTTCAAAGCTTTTTGATTACGTGGAATTAAATTTTCTGCAGACGATTCGATAGTAACTTCGAAAAAAACGGCATTCAAAGATTTCGGCATGCGAGTAGGTTTGCTTTGAATTAAATTCTCTGCTATAGATCGATCACCATTGGTTGATCAGCATATATTAATTGAGACCAGCCTTGTCTGAGAATTCAATATTCGTTCTAATTCACTGCTTAAAATAAATTGACTACCATAGACAGTGATTGAAGAAGAATGTAGATCTTGATCGTCATAATTCGATTTCTTCTGTTTAAATAGATTCACAATAAAAAAAAACGAAAAGGTAATATTACATTCCAATTTCTTTGACACAGTACTTTATTTTGATAGTAATGATTGATAGCGCTTTTCTATTTATAATTTTTATAAAATTCTTCAATTATGTTGAGATCGTCAGGATTATAAAAAAAACATGTTGCAATTTTTCGAGTAGATCTAGTTTTTCTTTATCTATTGTCAATTTGCTAGAATGTTGGATTCATACGTGAAATTGTTAGAAAAAAAAAGTAAACATCCACGTGGAACCATCTCGAATTTCCTATTGATCCGTGGTATGTGAAAAATCTACCAAATTGTAAAAGCTCAAGAATTTTTTTGTATTGAATTTGTTCTTAACGAAGTTTAGGAAATAATTCTTTGATCTTTACTTGAATGAGTCTTTCCTGAAGAAAACAATGATTATAGAAGAGTCAGTCAGTATCGTTTATCTTACATATTCGATAAGAAAAAAAACTTCATTCTCATTTGATCTAGATTCTTCAAATTGAAATCAATGAGGATTATCATTCTATTCCTATTGGTATAAAGGGTATGGGGTGTGTGTGGGTTAGAGACCTGCGGAGTCAATCTTTTTTGACTCCGACTCCGACTCCGAAATTTTTTTCCTATGTAACTCCGAGTCCGACTCCGGAGTTTTTTTTTCTAAATGACTCCGACTCCGACTCCGAAAGTTTTTTATGAATAACTCCGACTCCGACTCCGAAAAACTCCGAAAATTTTTCCTATTGTAAATCAGCAGCAGCTCACATGTATGGAGATATTATGTAATTTAAAGTTAGTTTACCATCACAAATCAAGTCTGATTGACGATTATTGTGCACGAATAAATAGATATGCAAAATATTAGATAAAAAAACTAAAGCTGATTAAATTTTCAACCTCTTTTTAAATATTAAATATAAGGGTGGTCACAAATTTTCGACCCGTGTCTCCAGATTGGCGTTATTTACATGAAATACATATATAGACAGTTGATCAAAGTATACAATTTTGTAGAGAATGATTAGAGCTATTATCTGAAAACAGTTAGTTCAAACTGTGTCGGACTAATCAAAAGTTATAGTCATTTTATTAATCATGACTATGCATTTTCCATCTTACATTTTTTGTAAACACAGAAATATTTTTATAAAGTTTGAAGAGAATTATTGCTTTCTAGATAATTTTATATGTTTGGAGATAGTTTGTCAATTTCTACAAGAATATGAATATCACAAAGAGTTCTAATCCTATTTCTTGTATAAAACTTGGAGGAAATTAGAAAAAAATAATAAAAATCTCACATATCTTGCATTAGAGAGAGCATGCTTAACTTTGGCTAACTTTATTTGATCGATTGTTCGTCTGTTCTTGATGCTCAGAAAAATCACTGTCACTCTTAGTATGTGACAACACACTTCGAAACATAAATTGACAGAAAAAAAAGTTGATCTATTGAAGTTACTGATAGTTAAGTATACTCTTTCAATGTATGATATACCAGATTTTCAATAGTCTTTCTGACTTTCCTCAAGTTTTGTATTGGAGAGCGAATTAGAATTTTTTCTAACATCTATATTCTTGTAGAGCTTGTCAAATTCTATAGAACCATATAAAAATAACTAAAAGAAAACAGACAGCAAACAATATTTTGACTGTTCTTAACAACTCAACGAGTACAAGAATACTTTTGTTTTTACAAAAAATGTAAGATGGAAAATACATAGTCATGATTAATAAAATGACTATAAATTTTGATTAGTCCGACACAGTTTGAACTAACTGTTTTCAGATAATAGCTCTAATCATTCTCTACAAAATTGTATACTTCGATCAACTGTCTATATATGTATTTCATGTAAATAATGTCAATCTAGAGACAGGAATCGAAATTTTGTGACCATCCTTTATTTGGAATAACTGCGAAGCTCTTGTCATGAGAAGAAATTGCAAGTCTAATTAAATAAGAAAATGGATCCATCAAAGTAGTACCTATAAGAAAGACGATAAAATACAAGTGAAGTTTGGGATAATTTCCACCAAGTTTTCGTTTACTTGACGTTACTATTTTGAAAAATAATGTTATTTAAGAAAAGAAAAAAACTTTTCGGAGTCTACCAAATTTTACATCAACTCCGACTCCGACTCCGAAAAAAAAGTTTGACTCCGGTTCGACTCCGACTCCGAAAAAATCTTGGTTTTTAACTCCGACTCCGACTCCGACTCCGGCGGAGTCGGAGTCGGAGTCATTTTTCGGAGTCTATTGCAGGTCTCTAGTGTGGGTGTCGGTGACGCTTCAGTCATAGCCATACCCACACCCTCTTGTCGTTCAATTATGAGCAATTCTTCTCTTGGTATATATGAAAATAGTTTTTCAAAGGTGCGAATTCTGATGCAAGAAAGATCATTGAGTTATTCTAGAGCTAAGACTAGATCCCATATCTCACTACGTTTTGATATTGAACTAGGTTATGATTTTGGACAATAATATTTTCGTATTCCTATATTTGAATATACTGATTATTCTGATGTTAAATTTCTTAAATTCCAAATCTATGGTCAAACAACATTAGCTAATTGGTCGATAACTATCGATGTTAATGGAAAATGTACTAACCTCTGTGTAAAAAGTCTTTGTACAAAAGTTTTGTTCGATTTTCGACTGCTTATAGTTTGCAAAAAAGAATCAAAGGTAGTCAATTGGAAAGAAAAAAATCATGCTCTTTCTAAATATCTGTATCAGGCAAAATAAAAATCTAGATTTTGAAAGTTTATATTATTAAACGCAATTGAATCTGATTGTACTACTTATTGATCCGAAGTAGTGAAATTACAAATTTTATGATTTCAATTCAAAAGTATATAGTAAATTTTAGATCTAGACTTCGCTAGCTTTTCGATTTCGAAAAGAAAAGAAAGTTTTGATGAAGATCGAAGAGAGATTTTGAAATGTTTCTCTCCTAATAAGAACTGAATACATTGAAACTCTGCAAGCTTATATCAAGCGAACAACATCTTCCTAAACGAAAACATAGATATTTCATAGAAAACAAGAGCGAACTCTACAAATTTTAATCCATCAAATAAAACGACTGTTAAAATTTGTTTCAGTAAAAAATATTAAATAATAAAAGTAAATGATTTTAATTTTCGGAGGTTTTTTCAAGAAATGAGTTTTAAAGAATTAAAAATCAAAATTTTGATACTTTCAATCGATTTTAATCTGAAAAATTCAAATTAATTAAAAAAATCAAGTAAAATTTAATTTAGTAAACCTTGAATTTTCGACTGTATGTTCGCAAATCAGAGAATATCAAGATTAGGATCTTAGCATCTTATACATCAAGAATAATTGCTAATAAATCAAGTGAAAATAGAAAAATAGTAATTATTCAATTTACCAGAAAAAGAAAACTACGAGACACGTCAAAGAAAAAAATTCAAATCAAGTTTGCAGAATGTGTCGCAACGAGTACCTCGCGTCACAAATTACCACACCTGCAAAATAATTTTTATTATTATCAATACATACTATTTATAATTATATAATGTGAAAAATTCGAGAGAAACTTGAATACCATCTTAATTTCTCGATACTTCACAGTAATATCAGTTCGAGCCCATCGAGTTCTAAACTTTCGAACGGAAAGTCTTTAGACCAAGGACAATATATACTACGTTTATATCACCTGAATTAGATCTGTAACAGTTCATAGTTTTAACCTATCATTAACACTAAAATACATTGAACTTGTCAAATTTCCAACAAATCTCAAAAATTTGCCCACACTATTAAAAATCTCAGAAGAAAGACAATAATCACGAATATTTACAATTTATTATTATAATGCAAAAAACAATCAAACAGTTTCATCTTTCAATGAATGACTTAATTTAATATAAGTTGATAATGATGAAGTTGATAATGTTGAAGAATTATTTGTTTGTTGATGTGTTAAAGATGATGTTATTGTCATTGGTGTTAATTGTGATGATGGATATGAAAAAAGAAATATATCATTTAATGATAATGAAAATGATCGTTTAATATTTAGTTTTTTCTTGAATAATTTTTTTTGTATTTTATATTGAAAATAAAAAAAAATTAAAATTAAAATTAGAATAATAAAACTTATTAAAGAAATAAAAATAATTTGTTGATTAAATTGAATAAAATAATCATTTTTACATTGAAATTGAATTAAAAGAATAAAATTTATAAATATAGCAGAAAAATTATTTTCTTCTAAATAAATATCAAATGAATATTTATTTAAAATTGATTTAATAATTAAAGTTCCATTAGGAAAAAGAATAAGATTTGATGATGATGATGAATTTCTTAAATAAAATGATACATTTCTATATGCTTGAAATTCAATTTGAATATATTTATTATGATATAAATTAATACAATATGGAGATTGTGGTTTTAATAAAATATTATTATTAATTAAAATTTCAATTAAAATAATATCAATATGTAAAGAATCATTAGCAATTATTCGAAATTGAAATTTATTTATTTGTTTTTGTTTAAATTTTATTTTCGTATATAAATTTCCATTTGTTGTTAATTCAATTAAATTTTCAACATAATTTATATCATTTGAATGAATATAATAAATAATTTGATCATTTTTATCTTTATCTTCAGCTTGAATTTGTCTTAGAAATATTCTATTTAATTGATTTTCTTGAATTTGTATTTGAATAAAATTTTTATTAAATTTAACTGGATTATCATTTAAATCATTAAGATAAATATTTATTAAAATTTTTGTTCGATGTTCAAT